CTCCTTCTACCCCCTTCCCTTTGGAAATGTATAGCTGGTTTCATCTGCCCACCAACCAAAAGGCAAACCATGTTTTTGTAGCTTAGGGATGAGTGCCTGTTTTCCATGTTGACGTAAAGTTAGGTTAGCAATCTCCTGCCTGAACTCTTGAAGAACTGCTGCCAATCATTCCAACGTCCCCACGTTTGATGGACAAAAGGACTGAATTAGTGACTAATTCACATGATATTAGATTCAGGCAGGCAACTAAACACATTACTGTATGTGCTAAAATCAAAAAAAAAAATCACACAAGGAATCAATCTATTGTGTGAATCCAGCATGGCAGTTTCCGTGGTTCCTAATTTACACCAACCGATGATAATATATCCTTAATACCAAATCAGACTATGAATATTGGATTGCATCACTTTGCAGTAAGATTAAGCAGTGGGAATAACATCTATTTTTGACAATTCTGTGCCCGTTCTGGACAATAGCAGAGAGAAAGAGATGGTTGAACAGAGAAGAAAGAAAGTTTGCCATTCCAGTTTTGCATATTGGACAGGCTGGTTTTAATTCCATGGATCAGCTCCTGCATCTTGTATATCACGTCAGAATTGAGGGCTCCCTGAAAATACATCAAGTGGTTGTTGCCTCCTTTTCCAAAGAGGTCCATGCTACCATTGCTGAGGAACCCTAAAATGTCCCTCTTGATGCAGGTAAGGCTAAGTGGACATGGTTTCCCTGTACCATTCTGGAAGATCTCCGCCTTCACTGCGAAGCCTTTGTATTGACTTTCTCTAACTCTTAACTAAGTCTTTGCAAACACGACTGAAATATTTCCTTGTAACTTCCTGTTCCCACTGCCCCAATTTCATCCTCCACTGCAGCGGGTATCCATGGGAGAAGCTGGAGAAGAAGTGAGAACTCCTGGGAGATCTTCCAGTTGTTGTTCTTCCACAATCCCAAGCAGCAGCAGCCAGCACAACAATCAGGAACGTAGAGATCTGCAGTCTGTCAACAACTGGAAACCCTTCCCCATCTCTGTTCTACCCCTGCTAGCCCCTCTAGCTGACAGAAGCATCTTAAAGGGGGGACCTGTGGCCCCTAAGCGTCCTCTTTGGGGCCCCAAAGCCTCCTCTGATTAATACTATTGAAAATTCATGGTACAATGGCTCACCATTTTGGAGCAGAAAACACATTACCGTAGGCTTAACAGAGTGAGCTGCAAGGCATATCCAAAATTAAATATTTATAAATATTTTAATTATTTTATATACAGGCTCCATCGTTGTGGTTAATATTACTCTCTCCTGTGCCTTGTGGTTTTTATATTTTAATAGTTTAATAATGACTGTTTTGTATTTTTAATGTTTTTATATATTTATTGTTTTACTTAATTGTTGTACGCTGCCTAGAGTCACTTTTTGTGAGATGGGCAGCCATATAAATTGGATGGATGGATGGATGGATGGAT